CCTCACCACCCAGCGCCACACACCCGGGTCACGTGCGAGCTGTAGCGGGCCAGCCGTCACGACCGACCACACGCATGCCGGACCTAGGGCACCCGGCGTGCACACCACCACCACCAACACACACACCCAGGGGGGCGGAGGGGTTCGGCTCTACCACCCTTTTGCTAGGCAGAGCGACTTCCTGCACCGGCCTTCGGGGGTCAGGGAGGGAAGTCCAGCGGTGCCCCCTAGGGGGGGCTCACCAGCGGCGGCCGGACAGACGGCAGGGCTCGCAGCAGCGCCGGAGGAGCGCATTCCCTGTGTCCCTGGGGAGGGTGGCTCCCTCCTTGGGGGCACGGAGGATGCGCAGGGGCGGACGTCCCCAGAGAAGCAAGCGGCCGTCCCGGAAGACGAGGAGATGACGGCCTCGGACGGCGCGCAGGCTGACGTCGAGCGACGGAAGGCGACGCGACGGGAAAGCGAAGTCCCCCCCCCAACAGCAACACCCCCGGTGCCGCCAGCACCCCCGAAAGAAACGGTAGCACCCCAGCCCCTCCAACACGTCGCGGCCAAAACGGCAGAGGGAGCGCGGGTGGCACCCCTGCGCCCAAGGCAGGCAGGAAAGGCGAACCCCAAGAGGGGACCGAGTCAAGTCGTGGACTCGAGGGCAGGCACAGGGGCAACAGGGAGCGGGTTCCCCCCACAGCACCCCCCCATCCAACACGACACCCACATGCAGGTCGAGGAGGCAGAGGCGACGAGGAAGGCCACCCTCAAGCCACTCGAAGCAGGCAGGGTGGGCACGGCATCATCGCGCGACGGCTGGCGATGCGCACCACCGAGGGCAGCCCCGTCCGAGCCGTACAGGCAAAGACAGCAGTCGGCGGGGACCAGGCGGGACCCGTTGGGGGTCGAGGACACGCCATCCTCGTCGGTCGTGCCGCCGCTGCCACCGGTCGTCCCAACCCCGAAGCCGCAGGTCCGCAAGGGGGAGACCGCCCCGGCCACCTCGAAGCCCCTGGATCCCCCCGGAAAAGGCCGACCCCCACCAAAAAAGCAAGGGCTACCAAAAGGCCTCAATCCACACACACAGGCGCTCAAGCTGCAGGCAGCCGCGAAAACCCCCCAGCCCCCCGAAAAACGCCAACCACCCCCCCGAAAACGAGAGCTCCCCCCCCCTGAAACGAAACTAAGATTTTCCCCCCGAAAAACGCCTCAGCATCAGAAACAAACCCGCAGGCACCCCCCCAAAAACGAGAGCTCCCCCCCCCGAAAAACGCCCAAGCATCCGAAACAAACCCACAGGCACCCCCCCAAAAACGAGAGCTCCCCCCCCCGAAAAACGCCTCAGCACCCGAAACAAACCCGCAGGCACCTCCCCCAAAACGAGAGCCACTCCCCCCGAAAAACGCACCAGCACCAGAAACAAACCCGCAGGCACTCAAGAGAAAAGACCCCCCGGTGGGACTGAGCAACCCACAACTCTTGAAAAAACCGCGCCCCCCGGGGGACGACCAGCCACCACCGCCCCCCCCGAAAAAGGCTCCAGCCCCCCCAGAAATAATAATAATCGCCGCCCATCAGCCACCGCCCCGGCTGAAGCGAAAAGACCCCCCCTGCTCCATACTCCTGGGTGAGAAATACTGCCCCAAAAAAGCCCGCCCTCAGGACCCCAGCCTGAACAAGAGCGCCCAAAACACCCAGGTGCAGCAGCAACCTCACCCGAGGCACCCTCCCAGACCGTTCGCAAGCCGGTCGCTAGTGGAGGGTGTCTCCCCGAGTGAGTTGAGCGGCGTGATCGTACCCTTGCCACAGTCTGCCGGTGCAACCGGACTCGCCCAGACTGGACGATCACCAGGTACCCCAACGACCGTAGGCAAACGGAATTGGGGACCTCCAAGCCGCGCCACAGCGAGCGCAGGGGTTCCGACGCAAGATCCGGCTAGCCACCGGGCACCCCTGCGGCAGACAGCGCAAGGACTGGCCAAGTCCCGCGTGGAGGGTGGCCCCTCCATCGCGCCGCGTACACGGTGAGAACCGTGGGTAGCACCCTCTGCATCTCTCGAATCTCTGAGTTTTGAGTTTTAGTGGGTAAGTCCCGACGGAAAAACGGACAGTCCCACACTCACAAGTTTGGTCCGGCTTGTGGTCGTGCGTCACGCATTTCTCCCCTCAGTTACCAAAAAAAAAAAAAAAGGCGGCCCTGAGGGAGCTGCACCCCCCTGCCCCCGAGTTGCCTGACGACCGCAGCTTGCGGCCCGTGGCCGTAGCGAGGCCCTCCCCGGGCGTTATCCGCCGCGTGCTGAAGAAGATGCCGAAGGGCACCGCCGCTGGGCCGTCCGGCCTCTCTGCGCAGCACCTGCTCGACCTGTGGGACGTCTCCGGGTCGTTCAAAGAGGCAGTGGCGGACGCCGTCTGGGCCCTCTCTTCCGGCAGAGTGGCTTCAGCCGCCCGACCGTACCTCTTCGGGGCGAGGCTAGTTCCGCTGGTCAAGAAGTCCGGCGGGATCAGGCCCATTGCGTGTGGAGAGATCCTGCGACGGGTGGCCGGCAAGGTCCTCGCTTCCGACCGGGCGATCAAGGACCTGGGAGCGAACGTCCTTCTGCGGAGTGGGCAAGTCGGAGTCAGCGTTAAGGCGGGGGCCGACGCTGGCGTGCACGCCATCCGCAGGGTTGCGGCCCTGTACCGCGACAGGGACGTGGTCGACAGGGGCATCCTGCAGATCGACTTCGCGAACGCCTTCAACACGCTGCGGCGGGAAGCGATCATCTGCAGTGTCAACCGACACGCCCCCCAGCTGTTGGGGTACGCACTAGCGGCGTACGAGAAACACTCCGCGCTTGTGGTGGGCGACCGGGGTATCTCCTCCCAGTGCGGAGTCCAACAAGGGGACCCCTTGGGACCGCTGCTCTTCAGCCTCGTCATGCACGATGTCGTCGTGCCGCCGAACCCCGGAGAGCAGCCACCCGTCCCGGCGGCCCCGGCTTCGTCGCAGGCGCCCGTCGAGTCCGCCCCCGCGTCGCTCGGCCAGCCGGAGCCTCTCGATGCCGCCGGGGGGCGGCCCACCCCTCCAGAACCGGCTCAGGCCCCAGGTTCGGGGGACCCAGCGGTGCCACCGCCGCCGCCGGTGGGGTCCCCGGCGGCCCCGAGGGCCACGGATGGCGCGCTGAGCCAGGCGGGGCTTGACCTCCTGACGTTCTTCCTGGACGACGGGGCGGCTGGGGGTGAGCTCGACACCCTCGGTCACTGGCTGCAGGGCTTCGAGGACAGAGCGGCCGCGGTCGGGCTCAGTCTGAACCGGGGGAAGTGCAGGCTGTCCGTTGCCCCCGGCGCCACAATCCCCGAGGCCCTGCAAGGCATCGAGACTTTTCCGCTGGACGATATCCAGCACCTCGGCGTCCCCTGCGGTTCCCCCGAGACGATGCGCGCCTTCGTGGAGGAAGCGGCCAAGAGCGCCGAGCGGAAGATGCGGATGATAGCCTCCCTCCCCGACGCACATGTGGCTCTGACTCTGCTGAAGTTCTGCGCCGGCTTCGTCAGCGTCGTCCACCTCATGCGCGCTGTGGGGGCTGTCTTCGACTTCGCGTGCATCGATCAGGCCACGCAGTCTTGCCTGGCGACGATCACGGGCATCGAGACGGACGCTTCCGCCTGGGCTCTGGCTTCCCTTCCCGTCAGGCTCGGTGGCCTGGGCCTGCACTCCTGCGCCGACACAGCGGCGATCGCGCACATCGCGGCTACCTTTGACGGCGAGGCTTGCCTCCCGTCCCTGGTGACCCCCTACGTGCTGCCGCACGCCATGCTTCTGGACGAGGACGACACTTTCCTAGCGTCCCTCGAAGACCCGCGCCTTGCACCCTTCGAATCCGTTTTGGAGAAGATCCAGAACGTTCTGCAGGCACGGGATAACTACGGGGGACGTGGACAGAAAGTGTGGTCCGCGACAGTTCATGACGAGCGACGCAAGGCCCTCCTTATCTCGATGACTGAGGAGCTGGGCAGGTCAGGCCGGCTTCAAGGGTCGGCGCTGGCTCTGAAGCAGGTCCAAGTCCGGGCGCGGATCCAAAGCTGCTCCGCCCAACATGCGTCCGCTTGGCTTTATGGCAACGCGGAGGCGGACCCCAGGCTGTGGCTTTCTCCCGCGGAGCTCGCAGTGGCCATCCGGCTTCGGCTGGGGCTGCCCATCGCCCCCATGCCGAGCATCTGTCGCCTCTGCGGGACAGGCTCGGCAGACGTCGACGGAGTGCATGCGCGAAGTTGCTTCTCCGGCGGGCGCCGGACGAGAATGCACAACGCACTCCGCGATGTCATCGCTGACTTCGCCCGCCGTGGCTTGCTGGCCCCGGCGGTCGAGCGCCCCGTGTTTTCGAACACGGAGCGGAAGCGCCCGGACATCAGCTATGTCCGGGACGGCACCACCGTTGTGCTGGACGTCGCCGTCACCTTCCCCCTGCAGCCTTCGAACCCCCAGTACGCTAAGCGGGCGGCGGAGAAGCCAGGGGGGGCGGCGACAGCCTACGCAACAGCTGTTAAAGAAGGTAAGTACCGCGGCATAATAGACAACGAGCCAAACCCTCGGGAATGGCTCGCTGTCCCGCTAGTCGTGGACACCTTCGGAGCGTGGTGTCCTGGAGCACTCACGGAGTTGCGGCAAATAGCTCGCAAAAGCGCCCTCCGTGAAGACCGGACCGCTTCGGCCGCCTGCCAGGACTTCTTCCACCAATTGAGCTTTCAGGTAGCCCAAGGGGTGGCAAGAATAGTCATTTCATCTGGCGGGGCGCGACCGGACGAAGCGGTCCACCCTGGTGCAGGGGGTAGTGTCACTGCATCGCGGGTTTTTTTACCTGGTCGGACCTGCTTGCTAGCAGGCCAGCCCAGGTCGCAGTGAGACTGGCGTTCACTGTGTGCTGAAGAAGCATTTTTTTGGGCTCCCGCTCCGGAAGCAACCGGATACCGGCAGCCCCGCTGTACTAACATGTCGAGTACAGTGTCCCGCGCTCCAAAAAAAAAAAAAAAAGCATGGCGCCTTAGCTCAGTTGGTTAGAGCGCACGCCTAGTAAGCGTGAGGTCGTGGGTTCAAATCCCACAGGTGCCTTTTTCGAGATTTGCAGCGTGAGACGGGCTGGTGCGGGGTAAACACCATTCTCACACTTTTTCAACAATTCTTACCATTCTCACACGGTTGCAACAAATGCTACCATTCTCACACAGTCGCAACAAATGCTACCATTCTCACACAGTCGCAACAAATGCTACCATTCTCACACAGTCGCAACAAATGCTACCATTCTCACACAGTCCAAACAATTTCTTACCATTCTCACACAGTCGCAACAAATGCTACCATTCTCACACAGTCCAAACAATTTCTTACCATTCTCACACAGTCGCAACAAAATGCTACCATTCTCACACAGTCGCAACAAATGCTACCATTCTCACACAGTGACAGTCGCGTGTACATACAAAATGATTAGAAAGCTACAGGGCAGTGTGAGGTTTAGCTACAAAAAGCTACAGCTACTGCGTAGCTTTTTGTAGCCTTTTGTAGCTCTTTTTTTTTGGGGGGGTTCCCAGCCCATTCAGGATACTTTTCGCCCCAATTTCTTCAGTTTCGAAGTTTTCTGGGCATATTTTGGGTTTTCCTGGCACCTGCTTTGCCCTGTGCACTGGGGCCCGCTGCAGTCTACCGAGCCTCAGTGAGGGTCGGTCACTCGGTGAGGCTGCAACCACGCAGGCGGCGAGGGTGATGCAGCAGGGAAGCCTGGGGCGCCAGAGTCACGACGGTTCCATGAAGCGAAGCCAATCAGGACCCCAACCGCAGAGCGAAGAGCGCTCGAGACAGTGTGGGCCCGGAGCCCCGGCTGGAGCTCTCATTGCACTCCAGAGCCCCGGGCTGAGTCAGGTATTTGGCCGGTACCACCACTTACCAACACTTGGGCAGATGCTGCAGTGTGGACTGCCGAAGCCACCGTTTAGACCAGTCACTCCCCGTCGGACGGGCCCCCCAAAAAGCCCCTCGGGCCTTCTGGGGATTCGCCACAAGAACGCACTCACCCGCCCTTTGGAAGATAGTGGAGACCATTATCAAAGACCGCCCCACGTTCCTCCATCGATGGACTCCTCAGTCCGGAGGCTTCCGGTAGGGAGAGGCACAGAGAAGCAGCTCTGCACCGTGACGGCGGCAATCAACCGGAAAAAAGGCCGATTCACATGCTGCTCGCCTTCGACCTGGCGCGCGCTTTCGACGGGCAGCACGCTCCCGGCAGGCGGGACTCCCGGGAAGAGCACGCCGCTCAGCACGAATCAACCCCGACTACTTTACGCGTATTCCCCGGGTGAGAATGCCCAAAATTGACACATTGCAATTCAAGTCACTTTGGCCCTTTGGAAAGTTTGGGGTCTTATAATCTTAGAATTTGAGTGGCGTCGGTTCAAACCCGCCTCTCTGGTCTTTGGTATTTGTTGCGTTGCGACTGTGTGAGAATGGGGCTAATTCCCATTCTCGAACACAATTTAACTTTTTGCCCATTCTCGAACACTCGCTAACTTTTTGCCCATTCTCGAACACTTTTTAACTTTTTGCCCATTCTCGAACAGTCGCCTAACTTTTTGGGGCTAATTCCCATTATAGAACTGTTTTTAACTTTTTGCCCATTATAGAACAGTCGCTAACTTTGTGCCCATTATAGAACTGTTTTTAACTTTTTGCCCATTCTCGATAACTGTGTGCCCATTATAGAACATTCCGCTAACTTTGTGCCCATTATAGAACATTCCGCTAACTTTTTGCCCATTATAGAACATTGCTAAATCGTCACTTCTGGGACTCGATACCCCAACCTCCAGGCTGCCAAAATCTTGGGTCTAAGTTTTGGTTCCCAACTCGGGTCCAGGTTTGGTCCAAGTTTTGGGTCAGGTTTTGGGCTCAAGTTTCGGTCCACGCGGGCCCGGTCTGAAGTCTGGGCCTAATTACTGGTAGCGCCAGGCCAGTAACCTGGTAACCAGACTGGTCCTGGACCTGGATTATGTCATCATGCCACGGAAAAGCCTCGAACAGACCGGGCGGTCGGCTCAGAGTCAGACTGCTGTCAGGCTGCGTGCAGTCTGGTAGTGTTAGTCTGGCCTCTGGCAGCTGACGCTTGAAGTTGAACTGGTTGTCGTCTATTGATGACCAACCCAAGTTTGGGGGACCCAAGTTTGGGACCCAAGTTTGGGACCCAAGTTTGGGACCCAAGTTTGGGACCCAAGTTTGGGACCCAAGTTTGGGACCCAAGTTTGGGACCCAAGTTTGGGACCCAAGTTTGGGACCCAAGTTTGGGACCCAAGTTTGGGACCCAAGTTTGGGACCCAAGTTTGGGACCCAAGTTTGGGACCCAAGTTTGGGACCCAAGTTTGGGACCCAAGTTTGGGACCCAAGTTTGGGACCCAAGTTTGGGACCCAAGTTTGGGTCCCAAGTCTGGAACCCAAGTTTTGGGCACAACCTCAGGAAACCGTACTGTTTTGGTATTTCACCCCATTCTTGAATGGATTTCATAGGCTCGTCACTTCCTGCTGCCGTTGTCAACAGCGTTGATGCCCAGTTGCAGAACCGACTCCTCCGCGTTGGTTGCAAGCATCTTCCTGCGAAAAACAGCTGATTCGAAGACTTGGCAACTCCTTCAGCCGACTTTCACCCAGCTTTTCTCGGACCCAAAACTTGGAGTCCAAGTTGGACCCAAAGTCGCGGCCAAGATTTGGACTAAATCCAACCATTGGACCCAAGTTTGGGAACAATGCTGGTCGCGACGGTCGAGACGTGAAAGCAAACATCACGTACGAAGAGTAATAAACCCGTGTGCAGGTCTCTTCTGCCACGCCGGCGATGCAGAGTACCGCCTGCGTGCTAACACAAACTTGAACTTACTCTTGCCACGAGTCTTGGCAAACTTGGGTCCAAAGTTGGGAAAAGTAGGCACAAACTCAGGAAACCGTACTGTTCAAGTTTTGGACCAGATTTAGACCAAAACCCGTCCTGAAGGTTGTGGTATCGAGTCCCCGAAGTGACGATTTTTAGCGAATGTTCTATAATGGGCAAAAAGTTAGCGAATGTTCTATAATGGGCACAAAGTTATCGAGAATGGGCAAAAAGTTAAAAATAGTTCTATAATGGGCACAAAGTTAAGAATAGTTCTATAATGGGCAAAAAGTTAAGAATAGTTCTATAATGGGCACAAAGTTAAGAAAATGTGCTATAATGGGAATTTGCCCTAACTTTTTGCCCATTCTCGAACATTGAAAATTGCCCAGGGTGGGATTCGAACTCACCACCCATACATCCAAAAAATCCCAGCCATTTTTGGGTTCGCCATTTCCGATTCCGATTTCCGTCGGATCCGTTCCTCGAACAAGGTGCCAGCATTGTGGTTGGCTGCTGCGTCCCGGCTCGGTATCCTGGGTCACTGACACCGCAGACTACGGGTAAACGGTTTTCTAAAGGTATTGTGCACACAGATTCGTGCATAATTCAGGTATGCGCGAGTGACCAGCCCGTTCTACTTGTAGCGCTTCCAAATTCTGTGCCGAAACCTCTTCAGAATCAGAGCCACTGTTTTACCACGAGTAGTAACCAGCGACGGGCGCGACGTCACGAATGACTCCAGAGGAGGAGCGGGCCAATCAAGATTTGAGTGATGCTACTCTTACAGTAGAAGCTGCAAAGAAAAAGTGCCAGTCGTCTGAAAATAATCAGGAGCTGGCGGCTGGTGACTGGATCTTGTCCTCCCTGCCGCAGGCTGGCAGGCTGAGAGAGAGACTGGAATTGCCGGCGAGCCGCCAGGGCGCATGGCAGGAGCCATTTCTCCTGCCATCATGCAGCCATGTGCCAAGTGTAACCGCTGCCACTTCAACTCTGAAAAAAAGTTGACCAAAAAAATTGGACCCCGAATTTTTGACCAAAAAATTTGACCCAAAATTTTGTCCTAAATTTTTGACCCAAAAATTGACCGAAATTTTTTGACCCAAAAAATTTCGGTCAAACTTTTTGAATCACTTTGCTGCAAAGTTTGCAAGCTGCTTCTCCTGGTGTAGGTCAGTGAACTAAGGTCACTCAATGGCCGCCGCACAATTTTCAAGCAAGACGAGCAAACTCAGTGAAGTCTGTGCCGGGTTTTTAAACGGGGTAGCTCGCACACCACCGTCACGTGTAGAAGAGCTTGAAGCAACCAAGAACCTGAGTGTAGATGCCGAAGAGGCTGCGGCCTGAAGTTAGCAAGGGTACCGTCTTCGAATCAGTGAACTCAGCTGTTCTCGCGGTAAAACTTGAGGCAAATGTCTCGGGGAAGTGACATTTTCATCACAAAAACTGGAATGTTCGAGAATGGGCAAAAAGTTAAATAGTGTTCGAGAATGGGCACAAAGTTACCGAGAATGGGCAAAAAGTTAAAAAGTGTTCGAGAATGGGCAAAAAGTTAGCGAGTGTTCGAGAATGGGCAAAAAGTTAAATAGTGTTCGAGAATGGGCACAAACATAAGGAAGTGTACTCTTATGGGAATTGTCCCCTTTTTGCCCATTATCGAACACGGAAAATTTGCATAGGGTGGGATTCGAACTCACCACCCCTACCTCCAAAAAAAAAAAATTTTTTTTTTCCGATTCCAATTCGCTATCGACGCTCATGACGGCAGCCCCATCCTGAACTTCAGGGCTGGTCGCCACACGGTTGCCACGTGTGGCCCACATTTGCCACACGAAAATGAAAAAGTCGTGTGGCGGATGTGGCGAATTTTTCCGGTTTTTTTTCCCTCCTGAAAACCGGCCGCAATTGCCGTATAGCCACCATATCTGTGTTTTTTTTGGAGTTTTTTGGGATTTTTACGACAGGTACCCGATTCCAGCCAGTACAAGCCTGCTTTGTGGCCCTGTACTGTAGTAACCAGCTCTGCCAGCTTCTGGTGAATGTTGCCGTGAAGCAACTCACTCACTCGCACAGAAAACGGGTGACCACCCAGGTTTTCGTGTCGTTATGATGAAAAGTATGATGTGTCGCATGCATCGAGTGCAGGAACACGGTGTCTCGCTGACTCTGAGTCTGAGGGACGTGTCGCTAAGGACCG